GAAAGAGGGGGAAAAAGAAGGAGTGAACATCAAACTGTTTTCTTGAAACTTCAATGGAATTACAAACTCTTTGCTGCAAACAGCTGCAGAGTGCAAACAGCACCCATGTTTAAACTATTTTCAGATTTGTGAAATTAATTTAAAACTTCACAGGGAGTGAGAAGATGGAGAACAACATGAAGCAACCTGGCATTCACAGCACTCAGCATATTCATTATTTCAACAGGGAAAAAGCTCAGAAGATCAGTTATTTTCACTTTGCATAATTCATTTATTGAGCCATGAGAACCCATGCCTGGGTTATGCCCTCCAGCACATGAACCACATGCCTGGGAGTACACAGAGGGGACAGGTTCTGTTGACAACATTCAGAAGGCAACTTGCAGAGTAACTCCAGCAGTACTGGGGATCCAGGGCCTCGAGCTGCTTCTCCTCACAACTTACAGTATTATTAATGTTTTAATGTATTAATGCCTTCTGTATACAGGGAAGCTTAAGAAACCCTCATAAAGAAGCTATCTTCAGCTGAGACAGCTTTTCCAAACTTTGCTTTGACAGTGAGCTGGAGGGTTTGGCTCTTACCACATACTGACTGTAATTAAAAGGCTGGGGGGAGGGAGAAACACAAACAAACAAAACCCAACTGTTTCAGGTGGTTCTGAACCCATGGAAAAAAAAAAAAATTGGCTGTGCAAACAAAATCTGGAAGCATTTGCTTTGAATAGCTCTTTTCTAAAACATCAGACTTGAAATCTGGCAGGGATGCAGATGGGTTTGTGACAGGGATGTATCTGTCCAAATTATAAGCCTAAAAACATCACACACATGCCTAGCAGTTTTGTTTAGTTTTAATACCTACAATTGTTCTATAACAGCCACTCAACAGGACATAGTATTCAGAAATATGAAGACATTCTATTTGGGAACATTGTGTACTTCTAAAGAGAAATAATGCTTCTGTAAAAAGGTTTTTCTTTCTGTAGAAAGAACAAAAAAAATAATAATCACATATATTTCACAATAAACCCTCCTCCACATGAGAAGCACAGGTAGTTCTAACTGAAATATCCCAGTATTGGTAAGATCCAAGAATGGAACCCTAAAATCAGGAGGGAAGGAGGCCAAACACAAAAGGGTTTTCTTGTACTGTAAAGTAGGTTCCAGTGCCATGGCTCTAACGACTCACACTCTCAAACAATTCACAGCAACTCCATTCATTCGTAGTGCACTAAACCTACCCTAATTCTTAGATATGTACCCTTAATTTTTAACAAAATGGCATTTAAAAATGATGCCTGAAGAAAAAAGCATCCCTGACACATCTAGTATAAGAGGCTGTTCTGCCTAATCTGAGCTTGTTGTCCCAATATACTACAGAATATACATCTGTATGTGGGCTTCTACAGAGCAGTACTACAGAGCAGTACTGGGAGTTTCATCTATGTGAAACAAGGGCAGTTCTGTGAAGAGTTTTGTTCTTCTGGCCTTCAATTGTATTTTGGTAATCCTTCTGCAAATTCTAATTTACAACCTGAGAAGCTGCTTCTTTTTATGACTATATTAACTATTTCTCAACAACATACAAGGCAATATTCCACAAGACAATCTGAGCTGAGAGCAGAGCCTGCAGAAGCTGCCAAGTCTGACCTGTATTGGTGTTGAACATCATTTGCCCGGATCTGCTTTGCCAGAACTGTTTTCTAAATTGTAAATTATGTAACTCGAAAGGTAACACTACAAATATTTTTAACAATATAGAGGAATGAACAAAGATGACAGGGCAGGCAGCCTTCAGCATGTATGGAGGTCCAACACACCTCATTACCCCTAACTTCAGCTGTCAAAAGTTCTCCATGCCAACAGATTGACACTGTCATCTTTAAACTGCTACTCTTTCCATCCTAAACCGGCATTTGAGAAGCAAATTGAACTCCACAGATGTGTGTTTCTTCCTTGTTCAGGAAACCTAAAGTAAAATGCCTGAGTCAGCCTTCAAGTTTGGTATCTTAAGCCAGGGCTATCTCCTGAGAGCAGAGGTCTGCTGCTGTAGATGCAAAATAAGGATATGGGCTACGTCGGGAGGAATATGATAAGAATTAGGAGAGGAAAAAACCAGCACCATAAACTGGGTCAAGAAACTGTTTAGGTACAATTTTAGCAATAACTAAAATTAAGAACACTGCCTGTCTGCAGTATTAGCCTGCAAGACAGGCTCACACTGCCTAACCATGACATACTTCCCCACCGAAAGATTCCTAAAGATATTTATGATCAGGTTCAAGTTAGTTTGTTGTTTTTTTTTTGTTTTGTTTTTTTTCTCCAGCAGGGAAGCACCTTGAAAAGTGACATAGACGAGCCAACGCCATTCATATGACACTCCTCTCGGTTAATAATATCCAAAGCTCGGATTTTTATCCCCTCAAAGGTGGCCAGGTAGCAACACCAGCTTTCTACTGAAACATTTACAAGGGGCAGCAGATCCGCGGCCTCCTCCCATACGCTTCACCCAGCACCGGAGGCGCCCCGGCAGGCCGGGGTCTGAGGGGCCGGGGTCTGAGGGGCCGGGGTCTGAGGGGCCGGGGCCTGAGGGGCC